ATCCCTGATGTTCTCAGCACTGGGGCTTCGTAGGCGAGGGGACTGTCAGAAATAGCTTCCTCACCTTTGAAAAAGAATATAACAACAGTCACTTTCTCACAATCTTGTGAATATTAAATGAAATGATCGCCCGAGAGCGTTCAGACTTGAGCCTGGGATGCGGAAAGCGTTAAGACGTCTACTGTAAAATGCAGCTACCGTGAGCCGCCATTTAACCGACAGGCAAACTGAGGCTGGCAGGGCTGCGACTTAACCAGGACCTCCTTAGGTGGGCAGCGGCCACGAGAAAGCGGAGCAGCGAACTGGGTGACACTACCCACCTCGCCGAAGAATCGTACACTAGCCGGCGCCGCGAAGCCGGGACTTACAGAGGGACAGCTCGGGCGCCTGCTGGGTGGCGCTTCCGGCCTAAGCCGGAAGTGTTGCGCCCGGAACTACAACTCCCAGCAGCCCCCCGCGACGCGTTCTAGTCGACGCTAGGGAAGCGGTCGCCATTGTCCGCATCTGAGGTGAGGCCTTCACCAGGTTTACGGGGTAGCCGCTGCCGCTGCCGTGCTGCTGGAGGGTCAGGAGACCGGGCGGAGAGAGGTGGCGCCTGCCGTCGGGGCCGACGCAGCGCCAGGGCGGGTCCTGCCCCTGCCCTTTCCGCGCCGGCTTCGCGTCCCCGTTGCCCTCGGCCCTCGACCAGCCAGCCTCCAGCCTCCCGCCTCCGGGCACTTGATCTCAATGGGCCTGGCCGGACTGGCCGGGCCCTGATGAGCCCTGAACGTCGGGTCCAGCGCGCCTTTGTCTTCGAGGACGCGCGCCATTCTCCATGCTCACGGCCGGGCCGGACATCGGCGCGGGACAAAAGCCAAACGCCTTTACGAAGCGTCCCCGAGCCTGTTAGGTCTCCTGCGAAGTAGTGGGGGGCGGTGGCTGCAAACCAGGTAAGATCGGTGGCTTGCTGGCGGTGGCTCGCATCCACATCTGCATCGTGGGTTGTGAAGGAAATCTGAGGCAGGAGGCCGAGAAGCAGGTGATCAGGACGCCTCTGAGTGTTCATGGCAATAATAACCCCGTTTCATTTTCCAGCGGGCGTTTCTCGTTCGTGTCCGTTCTCATAAAGCGCTGTGAAGGACATCAAATGTCAGTTGCGAACAGGCCCAGGTTCCTTTAAACCTGCAGTGACCGGGGGTTTTGTCAGGTTACAAACAACAGTGCAAAATAGTTTGCCTACTTTGAGTGTTGGCGCTAATCGTGGTGCTCCCGATGCCCAGTGGGCGTCCTAGTGCTTTATACACATTCCCAGGAATCCGTCAGAGAGGTCGCGGGACTTGCACAAATACCTGAAACTTCGGGGGTTGGGAGTCTGGGCTCCGGACCCTTCTGTACGACTCCTCCACACTAGGAGGGAACAGCTAGGCTTGGGCTTGGTAGGTCTTGCAGGCGGATTCTTTTTTTCTTTTGAGATAAAATTTACATAACATAATGTTTACCACTTTAACCGTTTTGAAGTGTGTAATTCAGTGGTTTCGCTGTATGTTTGTAAAGTTGTGCCACTTTCTATCTCCACTTTCTAATTCCAGGACGTTTTCATCACCTCCCAAAAGAAACCCCTGCACCCATTAAGCAGTCACTTTCCATGTTCCCGTTCCCTCAGCTCTAGGCAACCATTAATCTATGAGGATTGCAGGTAGATTTTACAGTAATTTCTGTCAATTCAACCGAAAAGTTTCATCTACGCTGTCTCTTGGGAATGGCTGGCAAATTTCCACCCTCTCATCAGTATCTTGCTTTTTTTTTTCAGCCTGTTCAAGTTACCTTTCATTACTTTCAAGGAATTCTGTCATGTTTTGGAGATGTAAAATATGTTTTCTTAAAATGCTCCCTAGGGAGTTTTTTGTTGCTTCTTTGTTCCTGCTGGATCTTTTGTGAGAAAGGAACAGTTTTGTCTTTTTCTCCTTTTGTCACTAGGTTGGGAATTGCAGTGCTCCTGGGCAGGTGCCTGCTCCATCGGCTCCGGGATGGCAGCCATCAATCCGTGGGCCTCCTGGGGTGAGTCCAAATCCTGTTTTCTAGGTCTCCCCTAGCCCTGTGACCTGCTATAACCATGGGTCAGAGCTGGGGAGGGGCTGAGGGCTTTTGGGGATCGGGGGATGTGTCTTGGTATAGAATTAGAACTAATTGGGAATTATAATTGGTTGGTGGTCAAGGTGGGAAATTGTTGGCGTAAAACACAATGTACCTTTTGCATATTTTATAGTTCTCTTCTGGAAAGTGTCATTAGCTCTAAGAGATTTTCCAGTAATTTGTGGGGTTTCTTAGAAGACAGTCATAAATACAATCAAAGTGTCTTTACTGCCTCTATATTTTTCTCCCTTATTGTTTTTCAGTTATACAGAGTTGGTTTGTAGTTTTTAAGCAATGTTAAATAACAGCATGATGTCAGTGGTGTGTTTTATTGTCTAGTGAGGTTTTATTCACTAAAGACATCAAGGGATAATACTGCTTACATTCATTAAAAACTAGGTAATATTATGTTTTATCAGATATCTTTTTAGCCATTTAAAGGGTTCTGGTTTTAATTGTCCTGTGGCTACATTACATCAGTAAATTTCCTAATGGTGCATTTCCTGTTTAAATCCAGCTTAAGTTGGTATTTTTACATGCCCTTGGGCTCTGTTTGTGGAACTTTGTTGTACCCATTAGTGAGACAGTCTCCTTTTCCATTTTGTCACTTTTAGTCACTAAGTTTGGTGTCATAGTCCTAACCTGATCTTTCTGTGCAGGTGCCCTTACAGACCAGTGCTGGGGGATGGCAGCTGTTGACCCATGGGCCTCCTGGGGTGAGTCAAGAGCCCATGTTCCCCTAAGCCATATTGGTTGCCATGTTATGGTCTCTCCCTACAGTCATCTGCCACAGCTGAGGGTCAGAGCTGGGGACCCAGCGGAGCTTTAGGGCAGGGTATTTGTGGTCCAGATTTTTCTCTGTGTAGAGTTGGAATAAAGAAGGATCAGAAGACTCTGCTGGGGGATGAAGTGATGATGACATCTCTAGGACAAGATGCATGCAAATTAATGAATTCATTTGGGGCTCAGGCCCCAAAGGCTGTGAACAGACTCTGCTTCTCAGAGGTTGTGCCTCATAGTATAGGGGGTCAGTGAGGGATTCATATGTTTAGGTATGTTCCTTACCTTCTCCGAGCCCCATTTCCTTCATCTATAGACTGAGGAAGTAGATCTTTTCCCTTGCTCAAGGTGGAGGGACAAGGGTTGGCCCTCCTTAAGTCCCCCAGGATGAAGAGCTTATGTGGGCAAGCTTCTGGCAGGGAGAGCAGCCTCCGTGACTTCTTTCTCCTTCCCCAGCTCTGTGTCCTCAGGACCCTGCCTGGCTCATGGAGGGGAGCCCTGAGGAAGGGAGGATGGTTGCTGGGCTCCCAACAGCCCAGGTGCAGGTGAGATGGGGCTTCCATTATTTCCTGAAGGGCCATCCTGTTCCTAAAGGATGGGTGTCCAGGTTGTCCCTGACCATCCCAATTGAAAGGCTTTCTTAATTTATAACAGCTAGAGTTTGGGTAGAGAAGGAATCTGCCAGAAGTTAATGCTTCCTGACACAGGTAGAGAGAATTCAGGCAGTTTTGCATGACATGGAGCCTTGCTGTCAACCAGCCTGTCCATAGTGCTGAGCCCCATCTATGCCCTGGGGTTGTTTTGGGGGAAGAGGGTCAGCTCTTTTGGATGGCAGCCTCCCTCCTTTTTTCTCCTCTCTCCTTCACTCACATATTCAGCGCCTGGTCCAAGATGATGCTGTGCAGTGAGCTCTGTAATTGCTATAAGGGGAACAAGGACAGGTATGAGCCTTTACACTCAGGAGCTCCCAAACCCTTTTCCAGGGTTGTTCACTCAGTTAATGATGTCTCATGGCTTGCCTGGGGCTGCACATGCAGTGCTGGACACAAGAAGCCTGAGACGTAGGGAGACCCTGAACCCTGGAGGAGCTCAGTCCATCTGATGCCTTGGGAGATGGTACAGAATCTTCATGGAGGTCAGTGGGGGCACAGAGCAACTGGAATTCTTTGGCTGTAGAGGGGGAGTCTGCCCAGGAGACCTGAGCCAAGAGGTGAAAGGAATGCATCAGCCAGATTGGCACAGCCTCGGAGCAGGGGTCTGGCCTTAGCACCACAGGTGTATGTTGAGGGTTGGGGTTGCACTGCATGACCAGTGTCCAGGTGAAGACTGACCCCATTTGAAGAAGCCATGATGAACCCAGCTGGGCCCTGAACGCATGCTGCTGAGCCAGAATTCCATTCTGGTGATAATAAGGAGCATCAGAAATGTTGGGAGCAGGAGATGCCAGGGTCCAGAATATGGCTGGAAAGATGATCCTGATAGGTGTGGGGAGAAGGGGGCTGTGGGAAGCAGGTTGGCATTTCAGGCTTCAGTCTGACCAGGGCCTGGGAGCTGGGGAAGAAGGCGAGATCAAAGACGTATAAAAGACAGTCAAAGCAGGGGGTTTGTGACTGTGACTGCACAAGGGTGGCTTCTGAGAGAAATAGGACACTAGAGATGATGTAAGAGAGAGGTGTCATCTCCTTCCCCTTTGCCTGCCCAGCCTCTTCACCAGAGGTAGCTGCTTAAAAAATATCTTTTAAATAACAGCTTTATTGAGACATTATTCACGTACTATAAAGTTTTCCATTTTAAAGTGTGTGGTTCAGTGGGTTTTAGTATGTTTGCTGAATTGTGCAACCACCACCAGAATCTAATTCACCCCAAAAAGAAATCCGGTATCCCTTAGTAGTCACTCCCTTTTTCCCCGTCCCCAGTCCCTGGCAACCACTAATCTATTTTCTGTCTCTGATTTTGCCTCTATTGGATACTTCATATAAATATGGAATCATAATATGTGGCCTTTTGTATCTGGCTTCTTTCACTTAGGATAATCCTCTCAAAGGTCACCTTGTAGTGTACCATCAGTGTTTTATTTCTTTTTATGACTGAGATGTAGCCATTTTTAACTTTCTGATTTCAGTTTCTTAGGGTTATCTTCATATTTCTAAGCAGGAAATTTTTAATAAAGTTTTCCTAATTTGTCAAATTTACATTTACTCTGTTGACTCCTTGCTATGAAAGATGAAGAAAAATAGTTTTATTTATTTAGTTCTTTTATTTAAAAGTTAAAATAATGAATCAAGAAAATGTGAGATACTGTTATATTAAAAAAACTTAAAAATAATGTCTCTATTTAACTTTATGCATCACTTGAATTAAAAAAAGTTAAAACCTCCCACAGTTTCAAAGCTGATGGGTGAAGTGCATTGTAAGCATCCCCACAAGGCAGTGCTGTTGTTCCCGGGAAGCACAAGGGCCTGAACCGCATGGTACAATGTGGTGGTTGTCTGGCATCTGAACCTGGGTGACTGAGGTTCACTGCTGTTACAATATACAGTCATTTTTAGATCCTGTAACAGAATCATCAGCAGTGAAGCTAGGCGAGGCTGAAAGATGGGCCTTGAATCAGTCATCTGGGAACCGAAGTTAGTGGTAATAAAACACTGTGAAGCCCAGTTAACTGCTGTGCTGTGCTCTGCTGTTAATTTGTGTGAGGGTTTCTGAGAATTATTATAGTTAATGCTGAGAAAATAAAATAGAATTAAAATAACACCCTCCAATGTCTGAAGAGTTGTGATTTCTAAAAACATGCTCTTGGCTCCCTCCCCACACTCACTTTGGATTTTTCCCTGTGTGAAACTTGAACTAAATCATGTTAGTTTTTAATTAAGCGAGGTCTTCAGGAACGCTGATGAGCCCCATGTTCCTTTATTGTTCCCTCTAAGTTAAATATTTATTGAAATAAAGCATTTACCTGGTGAAAACATCAAATGCTGTCATCCCTCATTATCTGAATAGTCTGTTCTCGGAAACATGTTGGATAGTGAAGTTTCAGCTAACAGGAGCCTAGATCCGTTATTTTGAGGAGTAGAGGAAAATAAGACTAGTAGTAGTAGTGGTGGTGGTGGTGATAATACCCCAGTTTATCTAAAAATCTCAGCCAGCCTCTCTCTATATAGAAATGCTCTCAAACCTCCTATATAACAATCCACCAAGAATTTCTGCATCACAAACACTATGCACATAAAATACCAATAATACTCTACACCCTTCCTTGGTCATATTCAAGGATATGCACAGTCTAGTTAAGTTTTCCTTCTCTGTAGAGCTTGCACTAAAATATTAATAATGAAATTCTGCCAAAGAGGCAGTCTGAATTGTCCAGTTTCCATGGAGGGGCCAACTGTCAGGGAACTCTGAGCAATTGGGCAAGATCATGTTGGGCAAACATCTGAGACCCAGCACAGCACCCTTGTTCTTTTCTCCCTCACATCCTCACAGGGAAGTTTTCCTTCTCTGTAGAGCTTGCACTAAAATATTAATAATGAAATTCTGCCAAAGAGGCCGTCTGAATTGTCCAGTTTCCATGGAGGGGCCAACTGTCAGGGAACTCTGAGCAATTGGGCAAGATCATGTTGGGCAAACAGCTGAGACCCAGCACAGCACCCTTGTTCTTTTCTCCCTCACATCCTCACAGGGTTTAAACTTGTGGCTGGTGTGTGAGTAGATTCCATAAACTGCTTTAGAAAGCC